TGATGATGCGCAACATTGTTGCCATTGATATATTTCTGACGATGTCCATTGGCATAAAATTTTAATGCAGTAAGAATTTGTGAGATATATCATGAAATATCTCTATTTATCGATTATGTAAAAAAGTAAGAGATGGTTGAAATCAGATTCTTGTTTTCTATTAAAAAGCTTGCTACTACTCGGAAACTTCAGTAGTTGAGCAACTAGAAGTTGCTACCAGCATTTTGTCTCCTTTTTCGATTGTAGGTATGTACTACATTACGTTATTACAGTGTATATTGTACAACTTAGATTGTTGCTTATTTGCAGCATATGTTTAAGACAAAAAAAGTGAGAGAGCAAGCGAGAGAGAGCAAGCGAGAGAGAGAGAGAGAGAGAGAGAGAGAGAGAGAGAGAGAGAGAGAGAGGAAGCAAGGGTTGACGAAATACGAACATTCGGAGCTCTTTATTCCCACAGGAAAAGAGTTGTATGTAAAATTCTTCTATCTTGTAGCTATCACGTAACATGTCTAGAACCGAAACACTTTTAACAATTAAAATGTTTTCTGAGCTTTTTCGAGGTTGACTGTGTATGTATTGGATTGTTGATTTCAAAAATTATATTCAAAACAATATTCTTTATTTCAATTCCTGAAATGGGCAAAATGGATTCTTTTGACTTAAAAGGCTCGTCAATATCGTGTTTAAAAATCCTGCAATTATTGCAACATAATATAATCAATATATTTTATGAGAATGATTGGTAAATGTCAGGAGATGCTCAAAGAATACATCAAGCTACAATTTAAAAGTCGAAGTTTGATATCCACTGACAAGTCTTCGGATAATGAGAGAATAAGGTAGACACGAGGGGCATACTATTTGTTGCTCACGGTCTTTTGCCACATTCGTCGTCATGACAAGAAAAGTGAGATGGTTTGCCATTAATCCTGTTTTGCCATATGGCTAAGAGTCTTTAATTGATTGATTCATTAGTGAAGCTGCGCGCGTCACATGTTAAGGTCATTAGCCCCGTTAGTGTAATGTATGTTTTTGTCGTGGGAGGTGGCGGTGATATTTCCCCACAGGTTGGTGAGATCCAGCACCAACATGTACATCAGTTTGTATGGATTTCCCTCAACCAGGTATCACCCCCAGCGTGACAACACCCCAGCCGAGACAAGCTCTCAGCACCCGACTGGTCTCCCTACAAGTGTGAGAGTGTATTACATGAAAGTATCCGTAAGTGTGTGTAAGTAAGGGAGGAGAATAGGACAAGAAAGATAAAATAAAGGTCGCGCGCGGTCCGTGAACGGTTTGTTAGAATAGTGCTCCGGCATTAGTCTCTTGTTGATCGAAGAAATCACGTAACCTGCCAATCAGAGCAGCCTATCTCTAGAATTCTCCTCCAGACAGCGGCTGAACTCGGCCTAGCTATCTAATTAGTGTCGAAAACCCTGTCACCGTGGGAACTCGAACCCTAGAACCTCCCGGTGACACTGCAGTGACATCAGTTGGTGCTCTGAATCACCTTCGTCGAGCTAAGAGTCATGAAAAACGACGAGATGATACAAACTATTCTCTTGGCCGTAATTGCGTCTCAACATACCACTGGAGATTGAAACGTTTTCTTTTCTTTTCTTTTCAAGAAGGAACGCAACCCAAAGGAAACGTTTATGGAATTTGGGGACAAAAGAAGAGCAAACAAACAACTTTTTTGCTGAGCGACGTTTTTTTCCTCGTTCAGTTGCCAACGGCTAATGGAAACGCGTTCGTTGCTAGTTGTATCGGCGGGGCGACGCTGTTGCTCGATTGCGCGTCGCCGAACGAGGCAAAGAGGCGACCTCGACCTGGGCGTTCCCGGCAGCTGCTTGCTCCAAGGCCTGCCACTGCGGCGCAGCTGAAGATCAACGTCGGGCAACTCTATTTTCCCTAAATGGCGTAGAGGATTCCATTCCTTATAACTGGCCCTCTCCACAGCAACGGACATTTAATTTGTATAGTTATAGTCTTCTTTATCGTCATCTTCATCTTCTTCGTCCCGACTGTTTAGGCCTTTGGCAAGCTCGGTCTTTATATTCTTGATCGGTTTATATTCTTATTAGTTTTGTAACAGATCAAGAATCGAAAACAATTTGTTCGACTTTTTTGCCTGCTTTGGTGGACATTAAATTAGAATTATATACAAGTATCCACTTGTAAAGGCTTTTGTTATGAAATTCTATTAAACTACTAATGACGATATTTTATTATCCTTTTCTCTCTTCATTACCCTTTCTCTCTTTCCTCGATAATTTGAGTAAATTAAAGGATCCTTCGTATTATTGATCACATTATTACACAATTCTTTCACTTATGGTTAACCTGTTACATGTATATTATACAGCACAGTGTTTCATGAAACAGTGAGGTAAGGCCTTCAGGATGAGTTTCTGCGAAAAAAATGTTTGAGAATCGCCGTTTTGAAATTATTAAAGAATTATTACTTTGGCAATAGAACGAGTAAGAGGCTTACGAAACATTAACACAGAATAGAATGCATTGCCCGCATTAACACTGCAATTTTGTTACCGCACGATTGTGTATGCATAAGGCACACCGTATTACTCAAAATTCCACGCGCACTATTATGCACTTGGAATCATGAAACAGTGTGTGATGCATAGTTAAGTGTATCACTTTCGAAAATTTCCCGACGTCGGTGCTTTAATACAAGTATGGATTTCTCTGCGTAACGTCCAACTGGCGATCTCGGATCGTGTGTTTCGAAAGTAATTGGAGTGCACAATTTGTTGTCTGCTACCGGGAATAGATATTGTGCGACTTTGCCCCGAACAGTATATCAAATGTGACTAAAATCGCGACGCAGCCGACTTTTAAAGAGACGAATGATGCAGTGTTGATTCACTCTGTTGGCGAATTCTAGAGGTTGTCTGTTTTGGTAGGTAGGTTTTC